GAATGGGGAGGAGATCTCTACTAAAGATCTCATCCCCATTCCTTATTGTTCTTGGCTTGTCTATCTTTACACGTGTGGAGACTGTAAGGCCTCCTATATTGGCAAAACCAAACGGCATTTAAAAGTCAAAGCCTATATACTTAAGTTGATTTTCACAGCGCTGGCCCCTTGACTATAATAAAAAAAAAACTTCTAGAAGATCACGTGATGAACAAACTATAAAAACCATCGTTTACAACTTCACTTTGGTTTTTCTGAAGGTGTTATTGGAGGGCGAAAGTCACGTGATAAACAAACTATTAAAACCATCGTTTGCAACTTCACTTTGATTTTCCTACGTATACTTGTTACTGAAGGTGTTAATGGAAGATGAAGGCCACGTGATGGACAAAAAAAAAAAAACATTTATACTTCCAACTTGTGGTTGTCTACGTGTACCTGCTATAACTAAAGTTGAGGGTAGAAAGTAAAATCGGAGAATACCGAGTTTTAAAACTCATTGTTTAGTTTCATTTATAAATTATATATTTGTCATCTTTGGAAATTCAAGGAAAAAATTAATCTGTTATTATTCGTTAACCTGTTACTATTCTTTTAGCTTTTTGTATCTTATTTATTGTTTAGGGATCTTGGGGAGAGTTGGAATCGACGTTAGACGAGGAGATGAACGGAAACGAAGTAATTACGCAAGGCGTTAGCCGGACTCGATCCCGACTTTTTCTTGACTGTGTCACGGCAAAACATGAAGGGGTTTACTCGTGCGTCGCTGAAAACCCTTACCAACGGATCAGCGGTCAAACGGATTTGAAGCTATCGAAAGAAGGCAAGGCCGTTAACGCCCTATGTATGGCGAAAAAGTCTTTTGGTAAGTTTATTCAGTTATACAAAACACATTGATAATGAAAGAAAGTAAATAATAATCAATTAAACATACTAACGGATACAATAAAACAAATTTATTGTAAGCTATCAAACAGATAGGCCTATAAAAGCGAGGCGTGGCCAAGTGATAAGCATGCTCAGACTGTGAATCGGAGGATTCGTGGTTCGTGTCTGATTGCCTAAAAAAAAAATCCCCACAATTGGGGCTATGGGCGAGCTAATAAGAATGACAGTCAAATCTTATTATTCGGTCAGACAAGAGTAGCCAAAGAGTTGACGACGTCCATAAAGCACGTGTAGCTTTGTGAGAAACTTCTATTAAAACAAAAAAAAGAGTCCTACATTGTGATACAGTACATAAAACAGCAGATATTACTACTCACAGTGTATTCGTTGATTATCACGTGGATTGTATACATCTCTAGGTTAGGCTTCTAATACCATACCATTCGGATTTTAGTAAAGAAGAAATACGTTTTTAAATAAACTTCTCAGTGATATAAGTTCAGCTCATCCAGTGACGAATAGATGTTATGGAAGAACTGGTCTGGTTAATTTCTGGCCTCAGTTGTGTACGACCAAACTCTGTTTTATACTAGCTTACGCTTTATTTGCCGGGCTTATATACTAAAATAGAGGGCGCCTAGCAAACACTCGGGCCTTCATGATCCTTCTAGAAACTCATCACGTGTTACCAGCGTCACGTGACTTCCGCTGTCGTAACAATATTTATCGAGCTTCATAAACTTTTATAGTTTTCGAATCAACCTCTTACACATTCCCAATCAGGATGTTGTTAAAATAGCATTTTAGACCCCAAAGTACTTTATTTGCGAAGCTGACTTGCTTGTTAATTTAAGGCCTCACTTTGTGGTTGAGCTCCTCTAAAGATAATGATTTTGTATAATCACTGAGTTATAATTAAAGGTGCTTTCAGGACATTTTGTGTGAACAATTACATTAGTATTATAGATTGGTATAAATGTATAACATGAGACAGCTTGATATTCATGATCAACAACACACCTGGTGGCTCTCGAGCAAAATGCACCAAATATCTACACTTGCCCATAGATGGGATCATGGTCCACCCCTAGTGATGCAGTTGGGAACTATCCGCCCCATAGTAAAACGACTTGAAACTATAAGCTCCTAGTGACATACCATAAGACTTTCAGTCTATGGTAACACTTCGTGAAAATATGACGTCACGTGATTCCCCGGCCACAGAGGACACCTTTCCTCGCTTTACGGTACCCTTTGATCTCTTCTCGCCGACGACCTCCCACTGAGCAGCTCGTATGAGATCAGTTCTGAAGGGTTAATTACTTACAATTAGTCTCCTGTTCTCAAGCAAGTTTTCGTACGTTAAAAGTGGGGAATATTTACGAAAATCTTATGCATATTTCTTCTTACAAAAATTCGATGTCATCCTGACAATTGATTAGTTGAAACATCTTCAAAGTACAAACTTACCTTGTATTTTTCACTACTTTCAATCAACTTCCCATTTTCGTCCCCACGCATCCAAGCTAACTGGGGTTGAGGATTTCCTGAGGCTCTACAGAACAACTGAATATCGTTACCTTGGACTTCGATCCTTGTGCGAGTCCACATATGTATTCTTGCTGGAGTGCCTAATCATGTTTAATAATAAAAAAAAATACCAGTATGTTTACAGTCATTTATAACAACTGTAATTTAATCTTTAAGTTATAACACTATCGATGGTTTTCACTGACCAATAAGATACGCGGAATAAGAAATGGAAACTGACTTATACCACATGCATGAAGAACGAATATATATCAATCATTGTACTAGGAAGAAGGTTCTCCATACTTAATACATCATACTTTACTCCTTATTTTAAACATAAGATTTTAGTGAAAGATTATGAAGATCAAAATATATTTTGTTACGTGCAAAACGTTTAATCTTATATGATAATTAATTCATGTTGTGCAAGTCACTTAATAACAAAAAGATATATTGTTACGTATCTGCTTATTTGATAATTTCCCGTTTAATTTCTTTCCGATGAAACTTCAGCGATACAAGTCCTTTCTTAATTAAAACTAGTTTATTCTTTCTCGTTACAAACTTTGTAGTACACTTAATTTCCACAGTCACTTTAACTTAGCTATAATTCACAGCGATTTACACACTTTACTTACGGCTTGACTCGATTATCTGTCTCTATGTCTGTCTATCTGCAATTATATCTACGAATAGAAAACGTTAGGGAGGAATATTATAACGAGAATACAAAACGTTAGGAAAGAACATTGTAACGAGAATACAAAAGTTAGGGAAAAATATTGTAACAATAATAGAAAACGTTAGGGAAGAACATTGTAACAAGAATACAAAACGTTAGGGAAGAATATTGTAACAAGAATACAAAACGTTAGGGAAGAATATTGTAACGAGAATACAAAACGTTAGGGAAGAATATTGTAACGAGAATACAAAACGTTAGGGAAGAACATTGTAACAAGAATAGAAAACGTTAGGGAAAAATATTGTAACAAGAATAGAAAACGTTAGGGAAGAACATTGTAACAAGAATACAAAACGTTAGGGAAGAATATTGTAACGAGAATACAAAACGTTAGGGAAGAATATTGTAACAAGAATACAAAACGTTAGGGAAGAATATTGTAACAAGAATAGAAACAGCTTCTTCAGTATTCCTGGAATAGGTCATGAACTTTAAACCGCGACGGATTCCCGCGACGGATTACTATCAGTGCCTATGTGCTCACCATTAGCGATAGTTATGCCCTACTTATCATAGAACGAGTAAATAGAGTAAAAGTCATACACATATTGTTGTCTGTACAAACATACTAAACCTGTAAGATTTCTTTAGCCTTAGGTTATGATATAAATACAACTGGTTTACAATTGTTGTAATCATGGGTTTCAAGCGTATTACAACTGGTTTACAATTGTTGTAATCATGGGTTTCAAGCGTATTACAACTGGTTTACAATTGTTGTAATCATGGGTTTCAAGCGTATAACGTGTTTGTTCTGCATATTTTTGAAATAAAGAGACATCTAACGATCATCTTAGACCCAATCATTTTGGCAAGTGTCCCTTATATTTTTTATATGATAATCTATTTACTTCAGCAATGATATGATTAAACATATCAATATTCACGCAATTATTATTGCATTCTGAAGAAACAGTGACATGTTTTTCAGATGAAGATTCATCCAGAAGATGAAAAATATAACGGATACTCGGATGTCAAACTTATATTAAAGTTTTTCTTCATTACCCATTCAAGTCGTCTCCAGCCATTATTAGTCTCAAAGTGGGTTCCTCGTCATCGAAGTTAGGGAACAACATTGTAACGAGAATACAAAACGTTAGGGAAAAATATTGTAACAACAGCAAATGTACAACGTTTCGACAAGGTTTTGTCATTATAACTAATATAACTATAACTAAATGTAAAATAAACTCTAATTATGTAATCGCCAAAAGTTCAGCGAGAAATATCATAATAAAAATGGAAGCAGTTTGTCCAGTATTTCTGGAATATAACATGAACTTTAATCTGTATGAGGTTGACCTTTACAGTATCAGTATGATGAGGTAGACCTTTACAGTTACCAGTACGATGAGGTATACCTTTACAGTTATCAGTACAATAAGGGTGACCTTTACAATATCAGTACAATGAGGTTGACCTTTACAGTTATCAGTACGTGAGTGAATGAGGATGACCTTTACAGTATCAGTATGATGAGGTAGACCTTTACAGTTACCAGTACGATGAGGTATACCTTTACAGTTATCAGTACAATAAGGGTGACCTTTACAATATCAGTACAATGAGGTTGACCTTTACAGTTATCAGTACGTGAGTGAATGAGGATGACCTTTACAGT